CTCTTTCTTGCTAAGAGGAGTGGACTTTGGAAAAATAGTTAGTACATGTGAACGTACAGAAGGGACTTTAATACCTGAGTGCTAAGAGCAGTCCTTGTGAGCTTCCCACTGTGCTGAGGGAAAGGACTTCCCAAACAGCTGTTCAGAGAGCACTTGACCAGCTCTGCTAGATGCAGAATTCCATTCTCACTTTCTGCTGCAGTTAGCAGTAACAGAAGCACAGAGAGATCATTTTAGACACTGCAAGACAGGACAAAACCAAGACTGGTCTCATCATCCTTCAGCAGTGGAGTGGTTTAGTGCAAGCTGGGCTAAGACATTTGGCAAGGCAAGAAATGTGTTTTTTATTTTAAGATTAAAAAACCGTGCCCCTTGGGATGATCTTCAGTGCTTGTCCATCTGAGGAAACCTTCTTCAATACCTGTTCCAGTTTGAATGCTCTGCCAGAGGTTCAGCCATCTCCTCCTTAACATGATGGGCATTTGGACAGAGGAGTTCTCTTGGCCCAGAAGGAGCAGGCTACAAATTTGCAGCTATTTCTGCTTATTCCAGTGGTAGAATCCACTTCTGAGCAGTATTATTTTAATTAGCAGGAACTGAGTTCACTGTTCAAGTGTAGTTGATGTTTTGGGGGGTGTGAGAGACCCACTTGTGCTGAATTACCTTGAGTTAAAACTGTTTGATGCATTTTTGAACAATGTGACAAAGTCCGGTGTGCTGAAAGTTAAGAGACACATTTTTTCTCTTTGCTCCTGTCGGATATTGTCAAAAGAATGAACAGCACTCTGCTGGCTTGTATTTTTATTGCCTTTTTTTTTTTTTTTTTTTCTGGGACTAAGGTATCACAGAATGGGATTTTTCTCTTGATCTACAGACTCAATCAATGTGAAAATTCTAGCAAAAGGAAAAAATGCTCAATATTATCTGATTTGCCACTTCTAAAATTGTGCTCTTGTGAGTATTGTTTTTCCCAGAACAATGCACTTGGCAGAAGATAAATATAACGGAACCATGTAGCCAGACAGCCTAAATCATCAGTTCGCTTTCATTCAGATAAATTGTTTTGGAATTAGATACTTCTGCTTAGAAATAGTTCTCAGAGGCAGCAATTTCTACAAGCTTATTACTTGTAGTTACTTTGGCCAAACCATAAATCACTTACATTGAGTGGTATGCCAAACATAATTCAAGTTTTATGTGTTCTCTCCACATGCTCCAGGTGTCGCTGGAAGGGCTTGTCCGTAATGGTTCTTAGCCCAGGAAATCTGACAGACTGACAGTTGTTTATCATCAGCTGATAAGCACCTGCTTATCCCCTTGTAAGGCCCGTGGCTGGTGTTCTTCACCTAAGAGGGGTTGCCAGAAGCATTTCCTCACCTCTCAGGACACAGTTTCATCCCAAAACAGCAAACTTCAGACATTTTTTCTAGTGAGTGTAGAAGAGCTTTTCCAGAGACCCTGCCCAACTTCAACTTCAGGATCCATTTCCTTTCCACTTTTTAATTAGCCTTTTGTTTAAACTGTTTGACTTCTGCTTTGTCTGGGTCTTGTATAGTAACCTAGTGGCAAATAAGAGTGTATAACCTTTTCTGTTCAGTGCTGCAGACTGTGCAATGAAAGGTGCATTTACCCTCAGCTGTACCGGTGGTCTGAAAGCTGTACTGGGCTGGTTGGCCCCTGTTAATGGTGCAGGTTCTCGTTCTGCTGCTGCATGTAACTTCTCCTATGGAGAATTTAATACTGCTGTAAAATAACATCAGGGCCCCAGTGACGTAAATCTGTGGAAATACAGTGACTGACCTGGACTTCATTATGCTCACTTGTGTGAAAAGTGCATCTGGGCAGTTTAGGGTTAAGTAAAATTCTGTAAGTCTTTTGCCAAAGTTAAGTCCTTTGATGTCTTCATGGTAAGAACAGTGACCCTGTTGACAGGTTTAAGTTGGTAGGCATTTTGACCTGCCAATACAAGGAATGATGGCAGACACATTTCATCTCTGCCCATTCTAAATGGTTAAATATATATATATATATATATATATACACTGAAACACTGGAAAAATCCACAGCTGGATAGGTCTGTGAAGGGCAGGCAGGCAGGCAGTTGAAGGCAAGTGTAGGAGTCCAAATGCCTGGTTTTATTTGCTGGTCTGAAAGTGTTGTGTTCCCAAAAATCACATGGGCTATTTCAGAATTCAGTGGTGGGGCAAGCTTATCTAATCAATAGTTAATCTGTTGCTAAAGAGAGATGGAGGGAAAACAAGTTAAATGAGCATGAACTGTTAGTTGAAAAAGGATGTGAGCATTATCTGGTTCATTTTCTAAAATCAAAGGAAGCATCAGTCTTCCATGCTCATCTGGGTTTAATTACTTACCCTTGTTATCTCTCTCTTTCTGTAGAAGAGAAACTTGGTATTCATCTCCAGCATCCACATTGTTGGTTGCAAGACCAGGTATTAAAATAAAGGTAACATCAGGTAGTAAAACCATTTGTAAAGAGTTACTAACTGTTGCAGTCAATGGAGCTTGTAATGTTTCAGTTTAGCTTCCAGTAAATATTTCTGCTGCAAGAAAGATTGCTCTGAGAGCACAGGGCATTTTTAATGCCTTGGTTGCTTTACTGAGGGCTTAGTCATAGAATCATAGAATCACAGAACCATTTGGGTTTGAAAAGACCCTTGGGATCACTGAGTCCAACCATCATCCTACTCTACAAAGTTCTCCCCTAAACCACATCCACCAACACCACATCCAAATGATGCTTAAACACATCCAGGGATGGTGACTCAGCCACCTCCCTGGG